TACTTGTTCTGTCTGATTATTTTTGGACAATATCTGTTAGATGCATAGAAAACTGAAGATTTTAGAACGATTTTTAGTTCCACTCTTCCAAGCTGCTAAGGCTTGGAAGATGAGTACAGATGTTATTCATGCAGACCTGTTTTACTTGGCTTGGAGGCATCTCCCAAAATTAAAAATGCTGGGTTAGGTCATCACTTTTACATTGTACCACCTTTCAACTCTGTTATCTTTACCTACAGCCTGACAGTCTCATTTCAAACTTTGTGTGACCTTACAGTTTGAAAGAGATAATCTGCAGGGCTACAGGAAATGATTCTGCTCTTTCAATAAGTTAGTCCTTCAGAGAGACACTTCTCAGGAAAGGATTCTTCTCCCTGTAGTAGACTAAAAACAAATGGAGGAAATGCTTTGGCAGCTGTAGATAGCTTTCATCTTTAACAGGAAGAAATAGCCTTGGCTATTCTTAATCTTTGGCCTGAATTCTTGTGTGCTTTGGTAAAGACTTTCACAGGCAGCAGTGGGAGGTGCAGTGCTTAGCATGTTTTGTCTGTGTGCTGAGATCTGGAAGGTGGGCCCAGAAAGCAGGCAGATGTGGATGAGCAAAGAGCAGTATGTAGAGGGTGACGTAAGGGTTTAGGTAGATAAACAAAGGGATTTTTTTATAGTTACATTGCTTTCACTCCCATGTCTTTTGCCCAGTCTGAAGGGAAAAGACACAACCCAAAGGAGACCAAATTAGGAAAGATTTGCTCAGAGGATTTCAATGATGCCTTCAAGACAGACTTGGGATCACTGGAATTCCTGTCACAGCACTTTGCTGGAGATTTTGGAGTGGAGCTGGCTGTTGAGAACCCTTCTAGTGCTGGCTCTGAAGAGCCAGGAAAGGTTTTCAGAACACAGCTCATGTATAGCTGTCTCAGTCATCAATATCTGCTCCATTAGGGGTCTGTACTGCTGTGTCTCCCTGCTGGTGCAGTGACCAATCTTGGGTAAACATCTCTGCTGCTTTTGCCACTGTGAGCCAATTTTGTTGCCTCACTACTACAAACTAGGATGATCTGTCTTTTTTTCTCTTGTAAAGGAGAGACTTCCTTCCCCATAACAGTGTGAAAAAAAGTGGAAAATTTAATCCAAAGACAGAGGGGCCAAGGACTCTCCAACCTGCTGATTTCAAAGCTTGACTATTTTCTATTGACACAGCATGAGTGGAACAGCGTAGTGCAGTTTTAAACACCTTTTCTGATGTTATGTTCTAATGCTCGCCTGAAGAACTTTATTTTTGAGGGGAAACTAATGCTTAGGTACATTTCATTCAACTGAAGAAATCTGCATAGAAAGAATATATTCTGGGGAACTTATTTTTTTTTAAATTAGTGTTTTGTTCAGAGTTTGGTATGCTTAGTATTTAATTTTCTAGATAGTCGTGATGCTTAGGTATTTTCTGTAAGTGTTTTGGAGGTGTCTGCAGAGTGTTCTTACTGGCAGTCTCACAGATTTTTACAGAAATAAAAGCTATATAATGGGCATTGCCAAGTGTGTGTGAGGGTATCTAAATGCATGTATGCATTTGTGTGTGTATTTAAAATGGCTCCTGTGTGCAGGTATTAAATATATCCTCATGGGCATTGCATTGTGACTTGCATACTTGGAGGCAAAGGCTCTGAATAAAGAACCTATCCAGAACAGAGTGAAATTAGCTGCAGTTGCTTGTGGGTTTTCAAAGCAATGGCAGCAGTCAGAATCTGGCCTAAGTAATTAACTTACGAAGCATGGAAAGGAAAAGCAGCATGTGGAAGATATAATTAATAGGAACATATAACAGTCAGCTCGCACATAATAAATTGGCAGCTATGCCTGAGGTAACTGCCTTTTATTTGCAAAATGCTGTTGGAATTTTTTAAAAGTAATTGCACATTTTCTTCCATTTCCACATGGTCACAGAGAACATAGTACAGTACAAATATGAACAGGAATGCAATAAAATCATCGCTGTTGTTTGTTGTTTTCCCTGCTTAGAGCTATGATCTTATTTAAGCCAATGTCCAAAAGAAAGGAGGAATACATTTTAGCTCAGAAAGACAAGTGGCAAAACATTTTAGTGAGGTTTAATATGGAATAATTTAGAAGAACTAGGCAGGAACAACCAGAATAAATAACAGTAAATGGTCAGATATCTATTTGCAGAAGAGATTTATTAATGTGTTCTCCTGACTTGAGTAAATAATGGTTAAGATAAATGTTCTGAAGTTCTTCCATTTTGGCGGCTTGAATGTTCCATCTGAAGGTTTACTGCAGCTTTTCCTGCAGAGCAAGCATGACATCTTTGCCACCACAGATGCTGGCAGATCTTCAGGTGAATCCAGTCTACCCCTTGCCTAGTGCAGAGCTCTGGAAGGCTGTGGGATGGCAACCAGGGCTCCCCACAGCCAGCTGCTCTTCAGCTGCCTCCAACAGCCTGCTGCAAAACACAAAGCTGGAATCCTGCTCCAAACATTTGCAACAGGAAACAGGAGGGCTTGCAACTCAGGTTTGCTGCTCTGCCCAAAACATGCAAGTTACTGGACTTTTTAATTGCCATTTCCAGGCTTCTCAGGGAAGTAGAGGGAGCTCCATGTCATTCCTGCTGCTACCTGCTGTATGTGATTCCCCTCCTTACCCAAGTGGGAATTTATAATACTGCTTTGTAAGTCTGGATTTTTGTTAGGTTTTAAACAATCTGATTTTCATCACTGCAATAGTGGGTAGGAAAAGAAAGTCCAAATCTACTTTATTGTAAACGTGAAGAGGATGTGGTCTATATTGTCTGTGAGTAAATGAGGATGGGATCTCGTAAACACCTAACATTGGAGTGAGTTCTTAGCACCATAAATGTGATTAGAAACTTTACTGCTGTTTAAAATTGAACAGCCTGAAGACCAGGAAGTAGTTTTCTGTGAAATATTCCTGCTGTAACTAGTCTCTGTGCTGCTGACCCCAGGGGATCTTGCATTTGCTGCAGGCTGAGTCTAGTAGGCAGTTTGTTGCTGAATGAAGACTTTAAATAGTGAGTTTTAAAAAAAGTACATACTTGCAATTTTTGGGCTGATGAATTTAGAATGATGTTCTAGCAAGCTCAGTGCACTCCAAATTAATTAGCAGTGATCCTTTTAACAGGATAATTACTATATCAGCAAGTGGTAAACTCAAAATGAATGTGAGTAGGTCCAGATTGCACCCGCAAGGAAGAGCTGTCTCGTGGTTCTACCAAGTGATTCTAAATTCATTCCAGTGTGAAAGGTTTTAGATAGCACAGATCATCATCAGAACTGTCACTTTTTTTTACCTCTAGACTTGAATTAAAATCTGAAATGAAGTTGCATTCCATTCTTCATATGTCTACCTCACAACACCATGGCAAGTAGTGACTGGCTTTTTAAAGCTGCTGCTGCAAAAAGGCTGAAAATAAGCAGAGAAGGAGGTGTTGCACATTATTACTACTATATACATGGTAGACAGGGCTATGAAGCATGTGATACTTCCTTATGGCTGTGCATTTTCTTCTTTCATAATGGAAGGGTCTTATCCTTCATAGAACAGTAAGAACCCACAAGTATAAACACATGTTCACATCTTTGGTGTTTGGACTTTTTAAACAGGTTCATCTTTCAAAGACTAAATGTGTCATTGTTTATCAGGCTGTGAATAAGTAAGTATATGACTGCTGCAGTGATGGCAGAAACACTTCCATTCATTCCTAAAACCAGATCCTGGTCTTCAGATAGCTGAGGCTTAAGAAAATAAGGTTTAATTTGTGCTTTAACATGGGAAATTACTTTAATTAGGTCAGTCTATATGTTTTTCTGCTCTTTCAGAATAGATGCAGGAATTTGTAAAGACATCTACCATTTTCTGTAAGAATATAATTTTTAGGCAGATTTTCAAAAATCACTTAGCTTAGAGAAGCTGAAAGTAAGATAAGTTGAGCAAATGATCTTACACTAATCTCAGCTGTGCTCTTGGGAGAAATTGGGGTCCATATTTTTCACTCCAAATGTGAAAGTAGGAAAGTACTAATTATTAGCAATTTCTTAAAAATGGATCTTGACACTTGCCAGACTCGACAACCTCTCAGGTTATTTCATGGGACCTTGTGGTGCTTTATGAAACATGAAGCCTGAATCCTTTGGCTTAGATTACCTTGAGCGGCAGTGCCATCTTCTTTCTAGAGAGATTCTATGTCTGGGTCAGGCCACTTTTAAAAATCGTACAAAATGGAGACATTTTAAAAACTGTCTCAACTGTAGAAACAGAACTGTAAAATCAATAGGAAAAAAGTATTTACAAATATTTTGGTATTTACAAATATTTGTACATATGTGTTCTGTGTATGTTCTAACTGGTAGAAATACAAAGGCAAGCAACTCTGTAGAAAATGCCTGTATCAAAATGAGTTGACTTCTAGTGATCCAGGGGACTGCTTTTTTCTTTTTGTTAAGGCTTAGGTTATTCAGACCAGGCAGGTCATAAGAGTCTTTGGTATGCAGTTTAATGGTGTTGCATAGCTCTTAACTGAATCCAGCCAAAGATGAGGTAACATCTGAAGAAGGTTTCCTAAAATTTCTGGAATGAACAATGTTCTCATGTCACAGTAACACCATTAGCATGCCTGCACAGTTGTTGCTGCTGAAGTTCCCCCTGTACATGGCATATTGTTCATCACTCTGTAGTTATAGCCCTACCATTCTAGTAGTGCTCAATGCTTTTGTGCTTTCTATAAAGAACACGCTTGTCCTTCCATTTGAATACATGCAAGTACATAGGTCAGCACATTGCTACCAACAGTAATAACCAATCTTCTTAGTGCTCCCAACATTTCTTGATACTACAAACTATGGCTACAAAATCCCTGTGAATAATATCATATGGAACTAGTCAAAACCCACCATATAAATGGATTTTAAAAAGGTCCCATTTCTAAGAATTTGCTTGAGAAAGTTCTCCTACAATTTAGAAGAAATTAATGTTCTCTTGATGGAAAAGATTACTTAGGCACTCAAGATGTATTTGATCATAGCAACCGACAGAGCCCTTCTGAAGAAGCTGTGGGAAATGCAACCTCTTCCAAGTCAGTAACTCTCAGTGATTTTCTGATGGAGCTTGGGATTCCTCTTTTGGAGGAAAAGCAACAAACTCTTTCATTTCTTTCTCTTGGCGACCAGTAGCCTGAGCACGAGCTTCATAAGGCTCACATGGGCAGCAACAGACTTCTCCTTTCCTGCTCTTCTGCAGAACGGTGGTGCGGAAGTCTAAGGTTATCACTGCCAGCCGATACAACTGCAGAGTCACAACTAAGATATTCTTAGCTGTAAAAAATACCAGCATCTGATTGAATATTCTGAAGTGGCCCATCAGAATTGAACGCACAATGAAGAAGGGGCCATCCTGTATGAAAAGGCTGACGCCAATGTTCCAGAGTTCTGCACTGTACCTGCACAGCAGCAGGCTGGGGATCCGCCTGGCCGATGCGCTTGCTTTGCAGCCAATATGCTGTACTGCAAGGAAAGCAGTCACATTAAAACCATTTTATGAAGTGGAGCCAGGGTTGGCCTAAAGGGCACTCGCAATACAGGGTACTCTGGATTATAAATGCATTCACCTGTAAACTTTGCAACATGTAGAATATCCCATTTCTGGGATGTTTTTCAGCAAAACACACTGAATTCACCTGAGGCACTTAGGTCATCTGATGAACAAGATTAAAAACCACTTCCCCTTCTGTATGCCTCAAACATTACCAGTATTAATACACTTCTAACAAAAAGCAGAAATAGATCACCTAATGATTCTTCACAACTTCCCCAGATCTTTTATGTGATCAATCAACATGCCAGACTGGTATGCATCCTTAAGAAAAAAAAACTGTGCTGAAAAGGAACAGCTAGTGCTGTAGCACTTCACTTCCTTCCAAGCTGTCTAAGACATTGCTTTTAAAATGTTCACTAGATAGCCATTGCCTTTTTCATGTCATAGTAAGAATAAGGCCTTTAAGTGCCAGGCAATATTGAGCATTGTGTGGTTTCTCTCTGCCATGTAAGACTTGAAGCACAGTTAATTGTTCTTAGTCTTGTGGGTATCAATGTCACACAACTGCTGGAACTTGCAGCCATGGGTTTCCCTTGGCTGTAAAGGTGGTGGTGGGCTCAAATGCTCTCTATGGTGTAGTGCCCAGAGAAGGAGCATCAAAAGGGTTTGTGGGGCTAAATTTGGCTGTGTTTAATGGAAATACGCAAAGTTTAATTAACCTGTCTCTTGGACAGGGAGATTTCATTGGTTTAATAAACATCACTACTTGTGATGCAGTCAGAATGTGATGCAGTAACAGCTGCCAAACATTGCAGCTTGCCAAAAGAATTCTATTGTTTGAGTCAATGCTGGGGTGGGGGGAGAAAGTGATAGACTCAAATGGAAAATTAGTTGTAAAATGTAGAAATTTACTGAATCCATTAGGCAAAGCTTCAGCAGCAGCTAATGTTTTAAATGCTTTTGTGCCATTGCTGCTTAATAGTCCTAACTGCATTGCTCTAGTCTAACCATAAGTGCCTAAAAATTTCTTTTACGTCATGTTTGATGTGTGAATAAACATTCTGATGCTTGAACAAAAAGTACTGTTTGTGCAACTGTATAGAACTACCTAAAATGAACTGCACCCATGGTAATTTCAGGGAAATAGGTGTTCAGTGATTTAATTTTTAACTGGTAAATGCAATTAAATAAGTAGAAAAGCAACAGCTAGAGGAAAAAATGAACAGATTGTTTAAGTGCTATTTGAATTTATTTGTGTGGTGGTGATGTATAGAGGATGTTTTTTATTTGGTTGGTTGAGGTTTTTTTAAACCTGACTGCTGTGCATCTTTAATATAATACATTTTAGCAGTAGCAGGAATTTTACCTATGATAAAGCTGAAATGTGATTGCATCTGATTTTTTAGGAGGTAAGCTGCTGAGCTGAAATGCTGAAATATTTTCATAACTTCCCTGTTGGAAACAAAGCCTAGCACTGTCCATGAAGAAAATACTAATGAACATAGTAGTATTTCAGGGATTTTTAACTTATTATTTTAGTCAGTGTGTCAGCCTAGAAATCTATTTTGTATAGATGGTACTGAGGGTAAGGCATTTTTGGACTGCTATGGTTGTTGCAAACTTGTTGTGATTGGAGGCCAAATTGGTTGGAACAGATGATGCTCCAGAGAGCTTTCACTGTTCTTTTTGGACAGGGTGAAGCCCTTTCTGCCCAGGAACAAACACAGCCCTGAGCTGGCTGAATAGCTGACCCTTTTAGATTATAAGAACAGTGTGCAATCCCAACATCATACGGTCCTTGAGGTCTCCAGTGAATAGGTAATTTCTCCTGTGATTTTGGCTGTGCTATTTGGTGGTTCACAAGTTCCTGCCTCTCTGTCAGGTCTAGGACCTACCCAAATTTGAGGCATAATATAATAGACCAATTCTAATGTGAGAGCTCACATACTGAAGTTTAAGGCAGTAACAGGCAACTGGAGCAACACAATAGTGTAATCATTTTTTCCTTTTCCTGAAAGTAGACAGCTCTATCAGCGAGATCAGAGGTTAGCCAGAAACAAGTGTTTCCTCAAAAGAAACCACAATGAGCTTTCTTCAAAAGCTGTTGTCATATGAATTCCTCTCCACCAGGAGTCCTTGGTAAACTTGTACTGTGTGCACAGCCACAAGATGTACCAGAAAAACTTAAGAGCATTTTTTCTCTTTTCTTGTCTGTATGCAAGTACTAACCTGCAAGATCAAGTGGAAACTGTAACATACTCCAGGTCCATACAGCAAGAATTGCATTTATGAGAGCGTAATTCTTCCTATGGGAGGGGAAAAAGTGATTAACAATGAAGATGCAGTTTCCTTATGAGATCACAAAAATGCTTCCTGTAGTGTTTGGCATGTCATTTAAAGGGTAGTTGAGTGAGACAGTGATTGGTTTATTTATATGTGCTCTTACAATGCAACACTAAGGGAAACAGAAGCACCTTTTGGTATGGAATTTTTGCTGTTAAGGTTTACATGTTCCAGCTGTGTAATTACGCTTAATATCTGAAGCTAATATTATAATAATAATAAACGTATAAGAATAGACTCTGAGGGGATATCAGAGGGATATCTTTTAGGGGATATCTAGTGATTGCATGCTCCTTGCAAGCCTGAAGCTTCTCTGCCAAGCAGGAAGGATTCTTTTCCTGCTCTAGAAGCCTTGCTATGATATTTACAAAAAATAAATAGTATTTGTTACAAAGGATTAATCTCTTCTGTGACTCTTTCTTTATGATGGATTTTCACAGCTCATCTCTCAGCAGTGTGAGGGGGAGGTGAGCTTACTTACTCTGGGAGAGATCACAGTGTTGAAAATTCACACCAGACTGTGCCATTCCCTTTCTTCTTATCTTTGAACACTTTGTCAGTCTACCATGAAGTACACATGAGATAACCAAAGAAGCAACTTGGATAATGAATCACTTAAGCCAGCTCTAGTTGCTTCCTTGCCCATCTGAAACAATTCATTACCTTCATTACTGTGTGTATCCAGTGTTTCACCTCCTGTAGCCCTAAGGGCTGATGCTGCCTGGCAGTTAGGCTGCTCCTTTGGCTCTCTGAACCCTTTCATTGTGATGATGTGACATGCTTCTCTGCTGGCAACACGTGGGTAATCCCCAACAAAGCTCACAGGACTTTCTCAGGGGGAAAGGCAAGAGCAGGCACACAGAGCCCTTCAATGTAGCCTTCTGCTTTCTATGGGAAATGTGGTTTTACCAGTCTGAACACTGCACATTACACAAGTATCATCAGCAAAAAATCCTTACCGAACTTCCTCAATGTCCAAGGTTTCACTAGCAAATTCAAGTATGTCTGCTGCTGTTCCCACAAACATGAGAAGCAGCTGAGACAACTGATCCCGGGTGATTTCAACTCCAATAGGGAGAAGCCATCTCCCAACTACTAGTAGCAGTAGAAAAGTCTGGTGTAGGGCCAGTGTCCATACAGTCTCACAGATAGTGGAGAGCTGATTGACAAAGACTTTAGCCTGTTTAAAAGACAACAATAATATACTGTAACTTCAGGAGACTGATGTTAGAGATACTGTGTTTATCTTTGAGACTGCTTTTGTTCTCTTTCACGTTGTATGAGAACAAATAATTTCCATCTGGCAGGCCTGGTTTAACAAGGCACTTTAATACAAACTTTGGATAATGAATATCAAATCCTTCTCTGTGTACTACTCCTCCTGCTCTCATTTTTCAATTGAGTGTTATCCTTTACAAACTCACTACCCAGGCACTTTCTAAATTCAGTTACTGAGATTCACAAGAGAATGGTAGGGTCACCTCTTCTTTACACAGAGACTGGTCTTAGCAACAATAGTTAGTATGCAGCATGCTGTATTTTCCACAATGTGGTTTTCTAAACTACAAATATATATAATACACATGGCCTGGGTTTGCCTTTTTTTTTTTTTTTTTTTTTTTTTTTTTTTTTTTTTTTTTTTTTTTTTTTTTTTTTTTTTTTTTTTTTTTTTTTGGCTTTTTGCTGTGTTGTTTTACTCACAAGGTGCTTATCTGTAATTGTCATAAGATCTCTACCAGAAACAGGAAAAGGTGCCCTACCGTCTGAATGATGTGGTGATCTGTTCCCTCACTTCCATTACTGCTCTCTCTGGATTGATTGAAGTCTTGATTGCTGACATTGACCTGAACAGCCCCAGGCTCATTGCCACAGTACTGTTGTGAACAAAAACATGACACGTGTAAACATCCTACCCAGGGAGCAGATGTGCTCTAAGGCTGAGTCTCCTGTTTTGCTGAACTGCAGAGGGCATCTGATGTTTACAAAGGTCCTCACGTTTAATGTAATTCCCCTCTTCTTCAGAAGGGAGGAATTCCTCTCATGAAGACAAGAGAGATCTTTTGGTAGGTTCCTGAGAAAGTACAGGGTTGTACTGCAGAAGAGGATGCAAATTCAAAGGCCAATGGAGAGGGTGACACCTCTGTGCTCTTAAGTCTGCACCCTGTGAATGTGATCTGTTTTGCAGCTCTCCTGAACTTGCTACTGGATTCCCTACATGGTCTCTCTTTGGTTAAAACAGTCGAATATGGTAAAAACTGGTTGTGGTCAAGCCCTATATTCAAACTTGTTCTCAAAATATCTGCTTTTCTTTTCTACTATCCAGGAAAAGCTCTCTGAAAATGTCAGTTTTATTTTTCTGTATGACTTCCCTCAAGGCTGAAAATTAGTTAAGGTAGGATATTTGGGTTGTATCCTCCACCTCTCCTGCCCCTGCTGTGCCTTATTTTGTAAGGAAATACATAGGGTGAGAGGTGAAATAAAGGAGTATTTAAGAGAACTAGACCTGTGTTGTTGCCTATCCCTTTGAAATAGAATAAAAGGGTATTTTCACTTTTTGCAAGTACGTGGTGATCTGGGAAATTGAATGTTCACTAAAACATACTCCAACTACAGTAAAGCAGTGGTGGGGCCACATTCTGTCTGCAGCACTGTCCTGCCTTTCTACCTTCACACCCAAGGCTGGTCCAGGAGCAGCTGTGGGGGGGCATGGTTCCAAAATCTGTCTTCATAACAATCTGTAACATCTCTCCATTGTAATAAAAAGAGGATAATTAGAAAATCAAACCATGCTGTTACTAAAGACTTTTATCCTGTCCTATTTTTGTGAGAATTGCAGAGGATTTGCATTTCTCCACTGGGCCCCCCACCATTTTATTGCATGGGGATTGATTTTCTGTGACAATTGGAATGTGTTTGAGAGCATACTGAGTAGTTGTGTTCAGCATAAAGCCTGCCAATATAAGAACAACGTTTTTCAGGAAATTTCAGATTCTACTTTGATGCTTTGCTTGGTCTCTGATAATGTTGTTCAGTATCTAGGTAAGTGCTGCCTCTTGTCTGACCTTATAAATTTCCCGTGACTTGAAAAACCTGGAAAAAATGTCAGTGCTTGTTGCTTTTAGAGTTGGCGGTAAAGAGTCTTAAGCTGAATGCTTGTTTTATTTGAACAGTGGGTGTGAGAGTCTTGAAAGATTGACACACAGATGTGGGGAAGATGATATTTCCATTTGGTCCAAAGTTCTGGGCATGGAAACAGTGAGATGGAGGGGTTGGTACTCTCTGCCTGGCTACAGCCTTGTAGGGCTAATCTCCCTGAGTTTGCCCTTTAACTAAAGCACAGAGAGGGAAAAGCTTGTTTGAAGGATATTTTGGAAATGAAATTTAATTGGTGCTCTGGAGAGGCATGTGTAGCTGCTGCCTACAGAAAAACCCTGAAGTCTATAGAGACCCATCCCAAGGTCAAAGTCAGGCTGAAATAAATACTGCCACTGGCTGTGTGACACCACTGAGGAGACCACAACCTAAAAATATTGCATAGCTGTCCTAACCACCCCAGAATACTAAGAAGTGAAGATCATCAAGTAGCCTGGGTAGAGCAAAGGGATGACTAACCTGTGCAGCAGGAGGAAGGCTGACTCTGACAGCCTTTGGTTTGTCATTAAGTCTGCATTTAAGCTCACCCCTCTGGTCCCTTGTCTGGGCTGGCATGGTAATAGGAAAGCAGCCATGAGCCTGTACAAAACTTCACATCCAAGGCTGAGGCAGCTTGATTGCTAGAAGTAGGCAGAAGAAACCATGCCATGGTTTGCAGGGGAGCTCTTTTTCTCTTGTTCTAGTGGAACAAAGGTGCGGAAAATACCTCTAAAAAAATTAATTCACATTATTGGTGTCTTTGGTGTCTTTCCTTCTATGTAATTTTTATGTGTACTTTCTGCTGAGAGGTGGGTTGCTATTTCAGAGCAAGGCTCAATGATCTTGGCCACTCCATAGCTCTTCTCAATTGCTTCCAGGCAGGAAATGGAAATCTGCATCTGCAAAGCCAGTCATTTAAATAGGCTCCTGGTTTGTTTGGGTTTTTTTTAAGTAGGCTTCTGTTTTTTTCATTTAAGTATGTTCATATCTTGTTTGGGTTTGTTCTTCTCTGAATATTTAATGAGTGGTGATTGTGAAGTCATTCACTTGAAAATTTGGAGAAGAGCCTTTATTTACATCATGTATATGCATATAAATAGGACTGTTGGTGCCAGGCATATTAACTTATCAATTTATGGATGTGCAGTGACTAAATGGGAATGTGACAAGAAGCAAGTGAATATTGTTTTACTGTTTCACAGGTATTTGATAAACAGGGTTTGCCTTTTTACTACTAGACCCCAGTAAGTCCAAAATGTTGACTGTGTACCAAGCCAAATAAAAATGGTTTTGTTTTCTGTACAAAGATAAAACAGGAAGAAGCTGTACACATTTCGTATAAATTCTGACTTGGCTTACTTTCTTTTGTTTCTTCTGAGATGATTCATATGCCATCTAATCAAAATGGAAATGCAGTTGCATGACATGGTGTTCCAGAGCATGGCCTGCAGAAAAACTCACTTCCAGTGCATGGGGGCACCTGAAACACCAAACTAACTCAGGCAATTTCTGCTTGCACCTTATTCACAATCTATTATTTTCAAATAAAACTGAGGTTAGCTAAAACTTTTCATAATGGGGCCAGAATTGGGGTGTAAAACTGACACTTGAATATTAGGGTGGAGTTCCCTCAACCTATGCATGGGGCTGAGGACATTTTGGAATAGTCTAGCCCTTCCCTGGAACAGGCCCTGTGCCAAGCAACAGGTACCTGGCTTGCTGTCTGTGCTATGCTACAAACAGTGTGACTGTCACTATGGAAACACATGCGATGTCAGAAATTCAAAGCACTCCTGACTGCTTCATTTTGCTCATACAGGAAAGCTGAAATGTAAAACATGAAGAAAATATTATCTAAGTTGTTTTCCAAGTTGAGGAATATAAAGGGTATGGCAAGGAAGGAATGGTGAAAGATGTATGATCATTTGTGGAGTTCATTATGGTATAATTTTAGCTGATAAGAGAATCCCACCTTAGAATGAGGGTGAGGGAATGGACAGTAATATTCACTATATCCCCAAAATGTTCAAGTTAAGGTGGTTAAAAATAATTACAAGGTTTACCAAGTATCTCTCTTATTCCTGACTAGAAGCCTGCATTGACTACAGCCCTGGTAATTGGGTAAGCCCTGCAAAAGGTGGTCAGTTACTGCTTGCAGTGGCACACCAGGCATTAGCAAAGTTAACAGAGCCCTGAGATCCTGAACATTATTATGGAAGAGTGTTTGGGCTTTTTGATGGATTAAATGGTTTCAATTTGCTTGACAGCAGACAGCAATTTTTTCTCTGTACAGTTCAATTGACTTTGTCATCTCTCCCAAACATATATTTCATCTCCAAATACATTACCACAAAGCAGTAGTTCCTATGTAGTCAGTATTTCATCCTTGGTATATGAATGGCATTATATGTCCAGTTCTGCAGTACACAGAGGCAGAATTGCCTCTGTCTTCAGGAAGAGAGACTCCCTATTAGCACCTGCTTTAAATAACAGCACTGACATGAGAAGCTGATGCTTCTTGGTAAAGGTTCAACGTGAGATCAAAGTTCTACTGCCTTAAAGATTACACATTGTTTTCATAGTGTATATATTAAAAGTGTGGATCCAGTGACTGCATTCTGTTTGCATTTAAATAATGAAATCCCAGGAATACATCAGTATCAAGCGTAGTGCTAGTCTGGGTCCTGTGTTTGAGATTATTTGTTAAGAAAGCTGCTCCCCTTCTGGAGGTATTGTTTTTGAATTTGTTAGATTGTGTGTTTCCAAAACTCTCTATCCTATCTCTCCAGGTATAAACTAAGCTGTTAACTTGATATACTCCCTCTTTAATTCACCATAGCAGTATATCAATAAAAACAAAGTATGCCATGTTCTAACATCATTTTGGGAAATAAACTGCTGCCTTTGACTACAGGATTAGCCTGTTTCTTGAACCAGATTTAACTATGACAAATGTTCTCAATATCCACATTACCTTTCTGTGTCTGTTTAAGGAGATTTGGGAAAACAAGAAGACAATAAATTCCTGCTGCTGTATTTAGAAAAAGCCTAAGGCATTTTTAGTGTAAACACAATTTTGAATATTTGATTATGCTTCTGTGGACTCTAACAATGTTTCAAAGGAGAAAATGAGGCACTAGGTCTTTTTAGTCTAATTTATGTATTTTCTTCTGTTATTTTGTTCTTGTTTCAATCTGAACTTTACTACTATGGATGTAGGGCACTGCATATGTGCAAATACTGGCACAGGCAAAATTTTTTTCACTGCATGGAAGTGCTATAGGGATTTGAAACTAGCCTGCATGAGGGTTGACTCAGTGAGACCTGTTGGTGAAGTGTCTCTGTTCTGGCCCTAACTGGCCCAGAACATTTGCCCTTAAAAATTTTACAATGTGCTTTAGTCCCGAGTTAGAATCCAACCCTCCCCACTCCTAGATTACTATGCACAAAGAAAGGAAGGATATAAACCTTGTCAGACATATTTCCAGCTGTGGTAACAATCTGTTCTCCTATTTTGCAGCAAACATGAGGTAACTTGAATTTAAGACCCCTTTCACTGATGCCTGTCTCAGTTTTGACTTGTTTGAAGTTGTGGCATTTGCTTCTAAACACTGTGAAACTCACTTTATTTTGCAAAGGTCTCTAAAGCAATGAAGTTTTTTTACCCTACTGAGGAAGATTCATGCTGGTAACCTGGAGGTGAAAGGCTGTGTTTTTCAAACTGGTAGTCCTCATTTCCACAGACAAAGAAAAATAAGTGGCCTCATTTTTAGCTAGGAAAGAGGCTCATTATCTGATAATTATGAAGTGCACAATAGTCATAACATAGCTGTAGCTAGATTGGGACACCTACCAATATGAAAGAGAGAACTGGAACAAGACTTAGCAGACTTCTGTCTGCATGCCTGAAGCCAAGCCATCAAATAATGCATCAATTTCAAACTAGTCCGTCTTGTCTCATAATAAATACCTGAGTCCCATGATGAATTTCTAGTAGCCATAGTGATGGTACTATGCAAATCAGATATAAAAATATTGCTGGTGAAAACCTGTGAAGGAAAAGAAAAGATATCTTGGTATTATGATACATCATAGATATTTTTCAGTGCAGATAATGTTTGGATATATGGTATCCTGTGCCTCTATAATTTGGGATATTAAGAAATAGGGTAACTGCAAATTAGAATTGCTATTATTGCTTGATTGTTTGTGATGTGTATTATAAATAATAGGTTTATCTACATCCATCTAAGGTAATATATGGAAATTTATTTAAAATATCTTTAAGAACTAACCAAAGGCACTTGGCTGTTTGTATTTCTATCACACCATTTTCTGTATTTAAATAGCCTTTACTTAACATGCTCTTTCTGATTTCATGAAGAGTGAATTAATACATTGAGTCACTTCACTGAGTGATGCTGAGATAAAGGTTGTTGCTCACAGTCCTCTGCATTGACACAGGAAAGGTAGAAATAGCATCAGTTTGCCTAAAACAAGCATTGCTTCAGTAGATCTTTTAGTTGTAGGCTGTGCATTTAAAATGGGTTTATGAAAATGGGTCTTGGCCTTGTTTCCCCACTTGTGCTAGCAGTGGTATAATTTTCTAGTTCTTCTCTCCCTGTCAGTCTTCTATATAATTGTGATCGGTTGGTGCTGGCCAAATGCCAGTGCACCCACAAAAATCATTTATTCAAATAAAACCAGCATAATAACTGATGTTGATGAAGCTTTATTATCTTCAGCTTCTTTAGCTGGGTTTATTCGGAAGTAATGGAGAGGTTCCATGACTTCTGCAAGTAGTGATTCTTGTGAGAGTGAGTTGCTGATATTTTCTTATTAAACATATGACATTTGATTGAGGTGGGTTTTTTGGCAATTCTGTACTTCTGGAGTAGGAATGAGATGCAATGCCACAAATTTTACAACTAGCTCTGCATGATACATACGAACTGGGCAGTGGGGTCCAACTCAGGACATTTTCTTGGTTCCTTCTATCCTGACACTGGCACATTCTGCAGTGAATTTAAACTGCTTGTAAGTATGCAACTGCAGCAACATTTTGGCCAAATGTCATTGCATTTACTGTTTGTCCCTATGTTGAATGTACCTTTATTTTGGTAATCATGACTTTTCCAGTGAAGATTAAGTATTGAGGAAAACAAAATATCCTGATGCTTAGAGAAATAACTGGGTTACTGAACTGCTCTGAAATGTTTCAAACTATCCCCTCTAAGATAGTTTGGGTTTTAATTTTTTTGTTTTTCATGGTTGAGAGGATGTTATTTGTTTTGGCAGTGGGTTTTGTTGTTGTTAGCTTTTTTTTTCCCCTAAAAAAAAAAAGGCTAGTGATTGTGTGGGTTTTTAGCCTGGTTATTTTGGGAGAGAACACACCTCTAATTTGAATGGAAGAACTAACATTTTACAGTATTTCCTGTAGGACTTCAGCACATGAAAAATCCATCCAGCTGGCAACAATACTGAGCTAATGATGCCACATCAGGCCAAGAGACTTCAGGGGCTTTAACCCTGCCTTTCTTTCAGAAGGTGCAGTCTAGAGGAAGTATTACATGGCCAGGCTCACAAGAAGACTTTTTTCCCACATGTGCCATTAAATGCTTTAGGCTGGTGTAATAAGTAACAGTCCTCTGTCAATAATGAACAGAGAATATGAGGGTGTTGGAGGCAGGAGTCCTGCTGCATAGTCTGCCACTTGCTTGGATTGGTGATTGTCTGTGGAGTTGTTTCTATAAATGCTGATGATGTCTATTCTGTGACTGTTTTCCACTGGAGCAGAAAGTTATCCTGATGCAAATAGATGCTGGCCATTTTTCTACAGTTCTCACCTATATATGTACTTTTATTTTGATGTTTAAAGTGCTGGACCACATCCATTTTCAGTATTTTCTTCTAGATAAATTTAGCCCAATCTTGTATGTATGCATCTAACATGGATCTGCTTTTGGTTTCTATTTTTGTTTGGAGTTTTCAAAAGCTCCATTGCAAGTGTTCCTTTATGAAGATTCTGCTGCTACCTCCTTTCCCAAAAGAATTGGTTATGTTCAATCTGCCTGTCTCATTAACTGCATTTGGGACTCTGCTATTGTTCAATTTTCCAGTGTTCCAGGTTTCATCACTGCTTTTATTGCATTCAAATTTGGAGCCTAGAATTCTTGTGTGAATTGTCACACAACACTACTTCAATAGAAGGACTTTCACATAATGACTTTCACAGGTTGCAATGGGCAGGATTTTAAGAACATGGAAATACTCCAGGGGTCTTCAGTCCTGGATTTGTCTCAAGGCCTGCCTGCAGTTTGAGTTTTTAACAATAAAATGTCCTAGTGAAATCTTGACAATTGGTTACATGACTGCCTCCTTTTCACAGAGCATTTTGTTTTGGCTGCCTGAGCTCTGATGAGCTGTAGATGACAGCAGTAATTCTTTAGATGCATGTAAAACCCCATGTGCTTGGGCAAGCTCTGCTATGACTAACTTTTTTGTTCATTTCTCGGGCAGCCTTTCACTCATGAAAGTTCCTCTCTGGAATAACCTCTCAAATCCAGATAGTTAAGCCACTCTTGCTGTACCAAATAGTGGTTGCTACTCATCTTTTATTTTTTTCCTAAGTTTAGGTTCATGCAGTAGTGTGGTGTTAGCACTGTTGCATGGAGGGGAGAGGGGGTTACACGGTCCTAGGGAAGGAGGTGCAATCCAGGGCACGGCAGGATGGGTGTCAGATGCAGGACATTTGCAGGGTCCCTCGGCACCCCTGTGCCCCTGCAGCGCGCAGCCCCAGCCCGCTGTGGCGCAGGAGGTGCCCCCAGCCCGCTGCAGCCCCACAGCATCCACACACGTACCGCCGCACAGGGTGGCTCCCGCGTGGTCTGCTGTACAATTGTCCCTCCTGGAAGCCCTGTTTGGCAGCGGACTAGCCAAACCACCAGTTTTCCATCCCTGCCTCCCGGGAGCCGCCGGCGAGCAAACGCGATCCCTGAGCGCCCGGCAGCGCCGGGGCCGGGGCAGCCCCTGCTGAAACGCTGCCCTCGGGGGACAGCTTCCTATCTGCAGCAAGGTACATGCAAAGAAGCGAGAGGGGCTCCGGCGGAATATGCTCACCATTTGTAGCCTCTGCCTTGCTTAAACTTGAGGGTGAGCCCTGTCTCCAGGCACAGGAGAAGATTGAGCAGTGCCAGCAGCCAGTACTTGGGTTCCTTCTTCACAGCAGTCACTCTCCAAACCCCGATGAGCGAGTGCAGCACGAAGAGCAGGCGAGTGACCAGGGCATTGAGCAGCACCATCAGCTCCATGCCGCAGCACCCCCTCCCTTCGCCCCGCACCGCGGGGCCCCGCCGCTCTTAGGAACCCTGGCGAGCTACCTTGGCAGTCACCGGGAAGCCTGCGCCTCGCCGGCACACAGATCTCTTCTCCTCCTCCATCTCCACAAAGGGGCCCATTATAACAAAAAAGAAACAGCATCGCCCCTCCCCCAGACTTCCTGAAAACTTTTTGAAGGAAAAAAAAAAAAAAAAAAAGACACGCTTCCATGCTGCAGTGGTTTGCAGACTCGGAACAGCCCTGGCCGGCCCAAGGCAGGGATGAGGAGCGTTGTTTCTGTCTCCTCTATATCGGCTCAAGGACCAAACATATCGAGATTTTCCCTCTCGCCCAGTTACCATCGCTCCGCAGCCCCACTTGCTGCTCTCGCCTCGTGCATTTCCAGCAAAGACACAACGAAAGGCACGTTATTAATTTGAATAATTTTTGCTGAAAGCTCCACTCTCCATTTCTGAGAGCACAAACCAAACCCCTCTTTCTGCTCTCCCTGAAAGAGAATTCATGTTTAGGAGCTTTTAAAATCGTTTAACATTTCAATGTAGAAAGCAGAACTTGTATGCTTAGTTCAATACTGGAATGCCCTGTGCAGCAGAAATCAGAATCTGAAATCTAGTCAAACCACTCTATTGTATGATCTACACCCTACTTCAGGACTAAGAAGCAGGGCAGTTGCAGAACTCCAGAAACGGGGATGAAATCTGGGCTAACTCTAATTTTACTGAATTGGTCAACAGGGGCATATACAAAAAATGCACTAAAGTTTGACTGTGAGGTCACTTACCTCTAGATGGACTTTTTGTATCCTGTGAGAAAGTGTATGAAGTACAGAATTTGTTTTAAAATTTCCTTTGTATTTCTCATAGAGATTATAAATTGTGTTAGAATTTACACTTGGTTAACCAAAGAGAAATTTCTTCTTGATCAAAATTGGCACTATGTTGTTCCAGTTTTTTGGTAATTTACTGCCAAAGCACTTAAATTGAGATAGCCAACTGTAAAATGCAAGTGTAGAATCAAGTCCATGTAAAGTACTGTGGAGTTTCAGAGGTCTTAACTTCCTAGATTTAATTTTAAACAATCCTGTTCTATTTAAACACAAGATTATATTCTTCTGAGAGCTGTGACCTTTCTAAGAAGGTATTTTTCCTCAATTGCTAAGATCCAGATTTTCCTTACTGCAAAGCCAAGCCTCTTCTTTTATGAAGTGCTGGTGCTGGCCAGCTGATATCCTTTGGGGCAGGGGATAAGGGAATACTACTTTACTTTAACCCTGCCCAGAAAAAAAAAGGAAAACAAAAGTCCATTCCACAGTAGAGATGACTCGCTTGGGAAATGCCTGAGTAAATAAATGGACTGTGTAGTATGTCTTTTTGAAGGAACAAAATCAAGCTCCTCACGCTCAGAGGAAAATGAATTCAAGTCAAAGACCTACTATAGATAATCCCTGCCAATAGCCACCCTGCCATATCTTGCCTTGGGTGCTGCTGGTTCACAGCCCTTCCGCTGGTGTTAAGGTCAAATGTAGTTGAAGAGGAAACTGGGAACAGACAGATTGAAGAGATTGTTTAAACAAGATATTCCTCTGTGGGAGTGCTTAATGTCAAAGAAATGACTTGGGGAACTGGTATGTCCTATTGTTCATGGAGGTCCTTACAGGGCAGATAGATGTCACAAAACTTGGGAGGATAAGCAGTGTGACATTCTCATGATACCGTGCTCAGGAAGGATGCAGAGAGCTTTGCTGAGAGCTAAGTAATTCTGCATATTGAAGACATGTGGGAGCTGAGCTGCTTAACCAAGGTAGTTTCATCAATGAACAATCCAAACTTCACATCAGTGAAAGTCCCAAACTTAAGTAAGAAGATACAATATTGACTCTGCCTGCTCAGTAGTGGACCATGATGGCAGCACAACAGCCTGAATAGGGTGGGAAGTACTCATGGGCAGCTTAATTTCTTTGGCCTATAAGAGGCAAATATTCATCCAGACTTAACAGAGTGCATTTTTAGATGTTTCAATGGCTGTTTTGTGGAGCAACTGGTTCAGGAACCCATGGAGGCAGTGCTTGACTTGAATCCTGAGGGGTTTATGGGATATGATGTGGGGAGTAACAGCTGAAGAGGTGCCCTGAAAGGGGGATCTTAATGTGCTTAGATTTGGCATCCTTGCAGGAGTAAGACAAGCCAGAGTTCTCTACCGTTGCTCTGCTCAGCTTCAAAAAGGAAAATTAGACACAGATCAGCAGGCATGTTGAAAATAAGACAGATGGAACACCTAACTCTTTGCAGGGAGTGTGGATATTTCTTCTGTAAATCACATGGGAAGTGCAGAGATAATAATGGTGCATCAAGAGAAACTTGAGAAAGAGTGAGAAGAAGCCAGCATTTGCAGGGTAAGTGAGACTGCAGGAGCAAGAAGGCATTCTTCAAAAAGCTGAAATGCTGTCCAGCTGAAGAGAACTGAAAAAATTATTAACTCTAGTATGGACAAACATGATAAGGTTGGCTGAAGGAGTGTGAGGGACAATTAGCAATAAAACATATTAATTAAAATGTCAGTTGTCTGTTCAAACAGGTTGTGACTAGGAAGTCTTCCAGGGAATTATTTGGTCAGTGGACAGCCAGGTGGTACAGAAACCCTCAGGTGTGGTATTTCTTGGGGGAGTGGAGTCCCAGCATGAGTACAGATGCACAGTATAGTTTGAGAAAGCACTGACTTCTGCATAGAACCTTACAGAAGGGGTAATTTTAGGATCTTTTTTCTCTATGATTCTGTATGTGCTAGTGTTCCATTGATTAAATTCTTTAATATTTTCTACTGATCTGCATCTTAGACTTGTCAGGATAGTTGATCATGGGCTAGAGAATTGTCTAGGGAGGAACTTTGTTTACCTTGTTTTTTCTACTCTTTTCCTAAGGATGGAGTTAGGTCTAATGATGGATGCAGACAGTGGAATTAGATGGACTTTGCCCTGACCTGAAATTACTGCATTAGTAGTGACTTTCTGATGTCTGAAGAAATTAATCTGGTGTGGGTTGTAGTGTTGGTTGGATCCAAGCTGAAAGCCAGATTCATGTCTATTTGTATAGAGTGCTCTACTAATGATACATCCTCTTCCCTAGCTTTTTTTTCTCCCTTTCCCTGGGAACCCTTAAGAGTTAATGTTTGCAGGAGCTGCTGTACTCTGGCAAAGCCTGGACACAGTGGTGTGAACATGCATCACATTGTGTGGGATTTTCATCCAAGGCACCTTGGCAAGATCTACTGCACAGCTCTGCCACATAACAGCCAATTGCAGCTTGTTGGACACATTTGGGAAATATTAAACCTTACTGTGCCCCCAGTACCAATGATCTTTTTGCTGGAATAGGGAATCTGGCACTTTAAAAACTGTGCCACAGGATCTCTGTGCCTGCGTTGAATAATTCCTGCCTTTTAGTTGAGTCACTATGATGATTGCACTAAGCATAACTGTGAGAAATGTGGAATTGCACCAGTTCTCAAAACCAAACTAGGGTAGGAGGTGCTTCACTAGCTGAACACGAGTCAGCAGTGATGGGAGGGTCACACTGGCACATAGATACAGAGCTGAAACCTGCCAATGTCCATCTTGTGCTTAGAAGGGCCTTAGCTGAAGTGCTGCCCTACCTTGGCTCAATGAGGGAGGAGCCAGTGGAGAAGGGCAGGAGTGTTCCTATAGTAGGAAATGACTTAAACAAATGGTTCCATTTCAGGTGGCTAAAGTGACATCCTTGTCAGGCTGCAGTGCTTATAGAATCACAAGACCCCTGTTCAAGTACCTGGAGGTGCGTCGTGAACAGCAACATGGAGGGACTCCAGTTTGAACTGGAGTGCAGGGCTCAGAAAATCCTTGTGAAGAAGAATTCCAGAACAGAAGTTCTGTGAGATTTTGTGATAATATGCAGTTGCTTGTTCTGTTTTAGGGTGGGTTTTTTACTCTTTGTGGGAGCTCTGAACAAAGATTATCAGAATTTACTTCTCTTGCTTACAAAATGGGATGTTTTAGGCAGTGAAATTTGGGGGTAATTGCTAATTGCCTTCAGTTCAAGAGACTTTGAAGATTTGATTTACGATATTCATAAAGAAATAATTATAGGGTATTAAGCTGGAAGAGACCAGGGATTAGAAGGGGTCGTAAATTCAATGTGAGTCAGCAGTGTATTCTGCTGTGAAGGAGGCACCCTGGGATGTATAAACAGACCTGTAATATGCCAGATTTCTGTTATTTCTTCTGTCTTCCTTGGTGCTGGGAAAAGCCTCAACTAAACTACCCTATTTCTAGTGATGCTTTTCCAAGGGAGAGTTGACAGGATAGAATGTCCAGAGATGGACAAGACTGCTGAGGAAAGAATAAGATACCATCATTCAGTGTAGAGAAAATAAAACCGAGATGGAAGTTGCCATGTTTTAGGAATAGCCTGTTCACCAGTCCCAAAGCAGAGGGAAGGAAGTAAAAGGTTTAAAGAGGAAAAAAAGGAGAAAAAATGCAATTAGATGTCTGGAGACATGTCTTGCTAGGAAGGACAGTGAAGCACTGAAATAGATTGTGTGGAGAAATGTCCATGATGCAAGCTTTTATGCACAGATTAGGGGAACGTCTGTCAGGGATGACAGCAGCTTAGTTATCCCTTGGGGTAGAGGGCTGACTAGATGATCTCTGGAGGTTTCTTCAAGTCTTTTACCTCCTAGGGCTCTAAGGTTTGTTTCTTTATTATCCACTCATTGTCTTGAGTCTCTAAGGAAGTTTCTTGCTTAAATTAAATCTGTTTAGTTTTACTTGCACAGGGCTCTTAAAGAAGAGGAAATTGTTCTGCTTTCTCAATGCTTGACTGCAAACTGTGAATAATTATGACAGCCTTATAAAGAGATCACCGCCAGTGGCAATTAACATACATGTTGAAACAAATGGGAATGATTTAGTTGTACATGTGAAACAAAAAAAACCTATCCAATTCTGTCTTAAGTGAAAGCCTAACTATTGCTGATCAAATTCAAGAGGGAAAAGCCAAATCTTTCAAAATATGATATGTGATAGATGGTACTAGCTATAGCTCAGTAAGGGTGTGAAGGAAATGGATAAAGGAGTGAAAAAACCAGAGTATAAAAAGATTAGCTCTCTAGTAAAGAGCCAATATGACTGCAGAAGCATTAAAG